ACCTTCTACTTATCACTTGACAAAACCATTATGATGTTACAAAGCTTTATACTGAAATCTTGAAAAATAGTAAAACATAAATAAAATCCCCTTTGAAAAGCAGGAGAATAGCTGCTTGTGTCTTATAGCCAGATTTAGCAGATGCGGGTTTGAATGCAAAACAGTTGTGAAAATAGCCAGTGTCAAACTAGTGCAAAATTAAACTTGCGGGGTGTTCTGTTTTCAGTGGCTGTTATTGTTGAAGTGCTCCATTTCAGAAGCATGCATTCCTTCCTACAGAAAAAAAAAATCAGATTCCTTAGTTGAAATTAATTAGCATTCAGAAACCAGATAGCATGTTTTTGGGTATTCATGAGATCTCTGTTTGAAAAAATGTTTTTAACTTGTAGAAATGTGTTGCAACACACAGATGGGAAGAAAAAGAAAAAAAATCTCTTTAGCAAGCACTGTGTGTAAAAGGAATATTACATTTTGCACGCTCCTGATTACCCTGTGTAAACAGTTTTTGACATCTGTCTTTATAGTTTTCGAGGAGAGGAAGACTTTGTTAAAAGAACCATTTTTATACAGCAGTCACCATTTCAGTCTTGCTTTACCTGTATTATGAAAGCAGATGGTCTGCATGTCTTTTGAATATTTATAACTATCAAAAACAATCTCTTGCTATTCACCCTTAGGCTTATGAGATGTCAGGACTGTTCTGGTTGAAAAAAAATCATCTTGGGTGTTTACAGAAAGAGGATTACATTAAGCTGAAATGACTATACATTTTCCAGTTTAATATTTGTCCATCAGCTGTTTAATCGTATTTAGATAATTGTGTAAATAAGTTGTTGCAGCCCTTGCCCCTTCCACTGAGCAGGCTTGAAGCTTTAAACACCAATGAATGTGTAGCAAAAAAGCTTGGATTTTTTTCCTAGTTAAACAACCTGAAAGGCCTAAATAAGTTTGGGTTATGACGCTTCTTCTGAGGGGAGTGCTTCATTTGCAAAGGAATCCCCAATATCTAATTCAGCCCAGTTGTTTTAGGAAACTGCTTTCTCACTGCTAAGCCTGTCAGTACGTATTTGTTATGTGTAAATACTGCAGCCCAACTGCCCCTTCATGAGGCATGAAAACAACCTCATTCTGCCATATAAAAACAATTTTAAGGTTATTTAGGGGAAGTTTTGGGACTGTGGGGGTTAAAAGCTTTTTTGACTGGAAGCTGAGCAATCACTGATAACAGATTTTGCTGTGGTTGGTTGATTTGGCAGAAAAGCATGAACAGTTTTGGTTTAGATGATTGAATTAACCTGATTAACATTGTTTTTGTTGGTTTGCAAAAAGGACAACAGTATACTGTTAGTGGTGATCGAACAATGCTTCACCTGGTCGGAGAACAGTGCTGGAGGAAATGTCTGTGAAGTGCCTCCTTTTAGCACCCACACCACTGGCTGAGGTGACCAACCAGCAAGGAACACTCAGGTCCTTCCCCTGCCATGTGGGATGCTCCTTCCCTTAGCTTTTGACACAGCACCAAAGGTGTTAGATACTGCTGTATCGTCAGTTCTTATCTGGGGAGTGTAGGAAAAGAATCCTGCTTGAAAGGTAACGTCTTTCACCAGTTTATCTAAGGAACTATGGTGCCTTTTTTTCAAATCTCTGATATTCAATAACCCTGAGAGAATGGGATTTGGTTCAGGCTACATGAAACAAACCTCAGCTTGAACTTTGTGACGAATTCTACCCCTACCTCCACACAGTTGTTGGATGCCTAATTATAATTAACTTATTTGGCTAAAAAAAGAGCACTTGGGCTGCAGCAGATGGTATCATTCCAGAATAGTGGGATTTCTGTGAAGGTGGCACCATTTCAGACTAGATCTTCTGATTCTCAGAGCAGGACTGAAAGCTCAGTGTCTGGGGGGGGACAGAATGAGGCGAGAGAGGGAAATTTGTGATCTTGAAGTCTTGCAACTTGCTTTCAAGGGTAAACTTCTGGGAGATGTGTTAAGACTGAGGAGCTGTGACCAGGTTTTGCCTTCAATCATTTTTTTTGGCGACGTGTGAAAAAGAAATGAGATTGACTGATGAATGTAAAGCGTTCGAATGCGCCTGATATTTGTATGATGTGTTTATATTCGTCATCCTTGTACATGGAAAGTGTCTGCCTCTGTGTCTCGCAGATAAGGAATAACTGTGTGCAACAGTACCTTAATATCTGTTGCAATTACAGCCATTCTTACTTTGATCATTAATAAGCGTAAGACTAGACACTGAGAGCTCCTCATATGTAAAGACCAGGCAAATAAGGAAAATGTCAGTATGCCTATAGTCTAGAGTGTGTATCTCTGAATACCACTAACTCAGAGGGTTTGATACTCAGTTTTGAGTCCTAAGCATAGAAGGCATCTGTATATATATAAACTGCTCTTGAAATATATAGATATTATACAGCAGTAAGAATTATACAGGAATTTCTACAGCAAAGTGCATCTCTTTGCACTGACTTAACAGCAGCTTTGATGACAAGATAATAAATAAAGAATAGAAACAATGAAATTCAATGTTGTCAAGTTATTTTCTGAGTTAACAAGGTAGTAATATTTTATCTGAGTTGTAAAATTTTGCCTTCAGTGAATTAGTAAATAAATCATTGATTCCTTCTGATGAGGATTCTTAGCGTAGGTAATATCACTTGAAAGTTTTGTGTGAGTGCTCTCAAAGAAAAAGGAGAATAATTTTCATTTTAAAACATGAAGATAATGTCTATGGCTTTTTTTTTTTTTTAATCTTCTTAGAAAGTATGAAGTAAAATCCCATTATTAGCCATTATATAGTTAGACCATTATATTATATATATTATATATTATTAGACCATTATATAGTCTCTCACTCTATCAGAAAAGGCAAAATTCCTAATAGTGTTGTTTAAACAGACTAGTCCCCTGTTTGATTATAAAATGAATAAACTGCATTAAATTTATTTCTGAAGAAGCAGAGGATGTTAGAGACAACCATTTCATTGTCATATCTTTTTTGGAAAATGACATGGAAGTGAGACATAGGAAATCCTAGATCCACTGATAATTGGTAATTTACTAAATTGTTATCAATTTACACTTTTTCATACTTACCAAAATTACTTGAGCAGGAGAAGACATCTTAAGTGGCCAAAGTAAAATAAAACCACCTTAAAATCTAAATGGCATCCACAAAATGTGCTTAATCTCCTATGAGAAAGTGGCCTATTGCGTTTGCAGTTCCCCATTTTATACAAGCAGATCTACAGGTTTGGCATGTACAGTAATGGTGCATTCGTAGAATTTGTCATAGAATTCAGATTCACAGGATGTTTTCAGTCACACCTTATGTATCATGGGCCCATGTTTAAAGTGGTATAATCTGTAAAATAGTTTGAACAATAATTTTGTATGTATTAGACATTAATGATATTGCTATTATGTTGAAAATTGAAATTGGGTTTAACTGAGCTCAGTTCAGGTCATTCAGGCTAAATTCTATTAAGATTTCAATCTCCTTTTATGCCGCTGTCAAAGGGCTTATAGTTAATTTCAGAAATGGCAGATTAATATCAAGGAATGGTAAGAATTTTAGTGATTCAGAGAAACACTAAAATAGCTGCCTGATGAGTAGAGGGTATCCACATTTGGCATCAGTTACACCGCCTCACTCTAGCAGTTCTGAGACTCCACAAATAGCACGTTACTGAGTATTGTGTTAGAAATCAAATGGTTATAATCAACTTCACTGTGATCAATAATTGAGATACTTTTACTTAGAAGCTGAACTAGCCTTGTAATAGAAGAGTTATGGTAATGTTTATGGCATTTTCTCTCTGAACTATTTCTTCCAGTGTTTGTTACAGTTTGTGTAACAAAGAGTTCATACTGTACATTGATTTTACGACAGCAGAAATACAGCTAAATGTTACATGCTGATTAGCAAAGAAACATAATAATCAGAGCTTTGTCTTCTTGAATGTCATTGTTTTCTCAATATGCTGGACAATTCTTGTAGTTAAGCTAAAAGTAACTACTTTCCTTATAGAAATATGAAGGCTGACAAAGTTCAGGCTATTGAAATTACATTTGTTAATTTTGCTGTTCATATATCATATACTGAATGTAATTTTCATGTTGAAACAGTGCCTCATTTTTTAAGGCCTTTTCTTAATTGATTTTGTAAAGGAATGTATGAGAATTGAAAGTTTTAGACATTGTAAATTTCACTGTTTAAAAATTGGTTAAAGCTGCGCAGAAGGTAAATTTCTCACTGTAATTATCTGATATCTTAGGAACCTTTGAGGAAAAAAAGATCTCTATCATCCTTTCATATATTTTATGGCTAATATCCAGTTAGGAAATTAGACATAACAATAAGAATTTTTCATTTTTCCGTGAATCATTTGAAATACCATTTTGCAAAAGCAAGTCCAGAATTGTTTTGGGTTGCGGCATACATATTTTATTCTTCTAGAAAGCATTTTGTTTTACCACCCTGCTAATAACTCATTCAGATAAATTTTGGTCCTGTGATTTTCCAGATTCTATTCTGTGTAATTGTTACAAAGGGAATGCATTTATTGGGGTTAATGCTTGCATTTCTGGAGTTAGTATAGTATCTGTATGCTTGTAAACTTGTGTTGGTATGTGAAACATCAATCAAATTTAAAAGCAGAACTAGAACAAACAAAAGGCATTTTCATGATTAGCATCTTCCATCCTGAGCCCATCCTACAGCCCGATGTTTCTTGGTCGATAACTTTGTTCTTCCTTTAGTACGTCTGCTTTTTTTTGTTCTCATTTATAATATACCTTGGTTTGGTTTTATATTCAATTAATGAATTTTTAAAAAGCTTTGGACAACAGAATCAGAATGCAATATGATTCTCAAACTAAAAAATGTAATAGTTTCAACAACTGAAATTACTTGTGCTTTGACTTGTACTGCTCTGTATTACAGATTTATTTTTTTCTTCTCCCCTTTTCACGCAGAGTATGATTTCTTCCATTGTGAACAGCACTTACTATGCAAATGTCTCAGCAGCAAAATGTCAGGAATTTGGAAGGTGGTATAAACATTTCAAGAAGGCAAAAGATATGATGGGTAAGCAAAAAAAAAAAAAAAAAAATTGCTGTGATGGTGGATACATGCAGTTACGCGTCACATTGAGGTCTGTCACAGTCATGCAAGAAGCCAGGTCCCTTTATGATAAGTTTAGGATGCTTTTGATGAGTAGATGTAGAAAGTACATATATAGTGTAAGAATTCATTTAAATAAATATTTGCTATTGAAACAGCCACACTGAATTGGGTTGCCAGAGATGCAAAGCTGTCATTCTGTAAATCTAGAGATCTTCTACAGCCCAAAATAATTGTTTAAAAACCTGTTCTTGGAACTGTAATGTGCTGATTTTTTCTAATGTATGTATTTTTTTTCTTGCTCTGGTTAATGTATGTGTAAAGAATAAGGTTTCTGTAACTAGCATTGCATTCCAAGAAGAATGCTGTAATTTTATGAATTTAGGACCGATTTCAATTTATTTTTGCAAATAGTAGTGACAATTGTTTGCTTGTTTTACTAAACTTGATGAATTACTGGAGAAGAAAATCTGCCACTGAGACATATGAACTCCATAGTACCTTTTATTTTCCTGTATTGTCCATTTTTAAAACTATTTCTTAAACCTGTTAACATAATTTTGAATACTTTATGTCCGAAAATTTCTGTGTAACTTTCAGTAGAATGAAGAAATGGAATCTCAATTTGAACCAGATATTGAGATTGACTTAGCTTTTAGTATTTGAAGCAAAATCGTTCATCTACCAAAAATGGGTTCCTCGCCTTTTATAGCTTAAGGCTGTAATGAAGACCATGAATCACTTTTGTGATAATTGCTTGAATTACTGTTCCAAGAGAATGGCTCACATAGGTTTGATCTCTACTTTCTGCCTGTAAGAATAGGTGGCTTCTTTCCTTCGCCTAGTTTGTATATTCTGTGCAACACAGGGCAGTGCTAAGGGTTTATGGTGGTGAGAATGCATGTGGTTTCAGATGATCCATGCTTGTAGAGGTCCTGCTTAGAAGGAGACCTTTCCACAGCATGTCCTTCCATCTCCACTGTAGGAGTAGTTCTACTGTGGAGCCCATGAATGTGGGGCATACCCTCAAAATGCTCCTTACTTGGCCTGTCAAGACAGTTTCATAGTCCCTTCATTTGAGGGCATTGAAACCAGCACATGGGAAAGATGTGTTTGTACATTCCTACATAGGACAGCAGAGGATGAAGGGCTGTGAGTGGGAGTCCAAGTGCTGATGTCTTCTTCCAGTTATTATTCTCATGGAGAAAGGGGTGATCTTTTCTGAATACCTATTGGTTGAGATTGTAATCACTATAAAAAGCACACATATTGACTATTCTTGTTAAATAGATTTTACTAGTATAAGAAAAAATAGCTACATCACCTCCATGAAGATACTAGATTTTTTAAAATAAATTGTTTTCTTAAAGCTATTTCCAGACCAGCATTGCTAAATCTTTGGAATTGACATACTGGTAAAAATGTGACTCATTTACATTAATCTGGAGTTATTCTATATCTTCTTATCATGCACAAGAGGCAAACTGGAAGAACTTATGAAGTTTAAAAAACTGTGTTGTTAATTAAAAAGGAGGGCGTGTCAAGGCAGATGAGTTAATATAAGGAAAAAAAACCAACCATGTTGCAAGTCACTGAAAAAAAACATGCATACATGGTTGCAAGATAAAGCAGCCCATCTGTGTAATTTACATAAATTATACTAGTTCCTAGCTGTCCAATACAGTCGATGCAGCATCTAGAAATTAGCAGAGCATGGGGAGGTCCACACCCCACCCTGCTTGTTACAGATTTCCTGTGTCTGGGAACTGCAGATGTGAGGGCAGAGACTCCACAAGAGTAACACAGTCAATGGGGCTTCTCTTTGGGCTGGATGGGCTTTCCAGTTACAGCCCTCCTTACTCCTGCACAGTCACTATTTTGCTTGCATCTTCTGCAGCATGAGAAGTTTCCTGTATTTGCCCTCTTCCTGGTTGTTTGCTGCCATCTCTGAAGCACCCTACATCAATCACTATGGGAATGTCCTCTGTAACCACCAACTCATGGTTTGGTTAGAAATTTGTGCATTGCATATTTGCAAGCCCTCTGGCAGTGATTTTGCCACATGTGTGTTTTAAAACACGTTATTTTGGTCTGATGTTCTGTTGGTTCCTCCAAGGACTTAGTGTCAATGATGGACAGTTAGTTGTTCTGTGCGTTTGTTTTTCTTTTTAAGATCCACTACACCATTATTTTTTTGATTAATTTTGAAGGCAAATAGCAGGATGTTGTAATAGACCTGCCAGTCTAGGCTGGAGAATACTGTAAGCTCAACCCTGAATATGCTATTTTATCTTTATTTACTTTTGTTAGCACATCTTGCAAGGAGAATGAAATTTGTGATATTCAGTCTTATGTTGGCTTTTTCAATGTTTCTTTTCCATCATAGTTGAGATGGATAGTCTTTCTGAACTATCCCAGCAAGGTGCCAACCATGTCAACTTCGGTCAGCAACCGGTCCCAGGGAACACAGCCGAACAGCCTCCATCCCCCGTTCAGCTTTCTCATGGTAGTCAACCATCAGTTCGGACCCCACTTCCAAATCTGCACCCTGGACTTGTATCTACTCCCATTAGCCCTCAGCTGGTAAATCAGCAGCTGGTAATGGCCCAGTTGCTGAACCAGCAGTATGCAGTGAACAGACTTCTAGCCCAGCAGTCCTTAAACCAACAGTACTTGAACCACCCTCCTCCTGTCAGTAGATCCATGAACAAGCCGTTGGAGCAGCAGGTCTCAACAAACACAGAGGTGTCTTCCGAAATCTACCAGTGGGTCCGTGATGAACTGAAACGAGCAGGAATCTCACAGGCAGTATTTGCACGTGTGGCTTTTAACCGAACTCAGGTCAGTACCTTTTTTTTCTTATTCTTTTAAATCTAGGAGAACCCTTCTTTCCCTCTCTCCCTCTCTTTCTCTCCTTATTAATTCATATATTTAGTAATTATCACCTTTTAAGTGCCTGTCCTCACTTCTATTTTGCCATTTAGCTCCTGTCAAGGAACGACACTTCCTTGCAGGACCAGTGTCCATGTTGATATCGTACAGAAATCCAGGGTGATAGGCTTGTGGAAATAAAAGCTGTGGGAATACACACTGTTCTTAGAGATGTCTTGGTTCCTCTCCATCTTCCCTGGAAAGGAAATGCAGAACCGTACACAAAGTCACCCAACAGATTGCCTTTGTGTTGTGAAGGTATGCCAGTACTGACCACATGCATGCGCTGAAAAACTATCTTCTCTCCCAGGTATCTCTCTGAGATAGTCTTTCACTCTTGTTTGCATTTATTTCTGTCATTTTTTGGTGAAGGTCTTCATAATGTGACTCTTAGGAACTTTCTGAAAATACTTAATTAAAAAAAAAAAAAAAAAAAAAGAAAGCTTTATTTTTAGGTCCTCTGTTCTTTCATGTGTTTTTGCAGTTTGTAGTTTCTGAGATTGCCAATGTCCACGTCAGAGCATATACTGCAGCTCATCAGTGCAGAAAAAATTAGCCCTAGCAAAGCTGATAAGCAACACTCAAATGTGTTATTTTTTACACCTGTTTTAGAAGCTAACCCTGTTATAATTTATTCTACTCTATGAATTTAACTTAATGCCATGTTGCGTGGAATTTAATCAAGCAGAAGTTATGGAAGAAATGTCAGTATACTCAGAGTAACTAATAAGATCTTAAATTTTTTAAAGTCTGTTTTTTAACAGAAAAGAAAATAGAATTTCTTTATAAGAAATATATGTTTTTCTAAATGTACATAAGTTTGCTTTGAATTCCACGTTTTTAAACTTAGGGCTTGAGTATTTGCTCATTATTGAGTATATTAAAAATATATAATTTGCGATTCTTTTGAAATGTTGATGTTTCTCACTTGGAGAATAAAAACTGTTTCATATGCACTAGTACCAGATTTGAATCAGCATGTCATTTGTAATCATTTTGAGAAAGATCAATTTTTTTTACATCCTCCTTCAGCTAAAAGAAAGGCAGTCATAGGGTGAATTATCTATAGAGCTGTGTGTGTGTCTGTGTGTCTTTCCTCTTAACTACAGAGGAGGTTTTCAGGACCAGATTTCATGGAATACATGAACTCGTGCAACTTATCAAGGTTGGGTTCAGGCAGCATCAGTTATTGTATCTAAGAATAAGTAACAGAGATTTCTTTAATGCAGCATGTAATATTTTATCTATAGATAGTGCAAGGTATTGAAATACTAATAGTTGCTTCAAGTTACTGTGGCTTGCAGCTGCTATCTTACCTGAGCAAAACCATGAGCAAATAATTGGGAAAATAAATAATTTATTGTTTATTTCTTTCTCAGACTTGCCTAAAAGCAGTTTATTTTGTCCCAACTCCCTCTTCCGAAGCCATTTGTTCAGTTTTTGTCACCTCACTTTTCATACTGTTTTTCGTTTATCATTCATAAACAGTAGTTGTTATCTAAAGTATAAGAACAATTGATTCTGACTGGACCTTGAATTTGCCTTAAAAAGATGCTCTAGAGATGGGAGGAATGCAGCAGTAGAGCCAGTTTTCTAGTGAAAATACTGATTTCCAATTATTAGACATTTTTCTTACTAACAATGTTATTCTTAGTAACAACATTTTCTTGAAGTTTTATTCTTCTAAAGACATTGTAGTTAACCAGCTTGGTAAAAATATACTCAAAGTGACCCAAAACTAGGAGGAAATTCAAACATGAACACTGAAAAAAAATCCAGTGAAAAGAACAAAAGATATGAAATATATATATATGTAATATATTTTGGCAATATTCAACCAAATAAACTTGAAAGAACACAGAGTAGTATCCCCATATCCTACAAATTGTGTTAGCTAATCAAATTAGTATTTGCAGCTAGCTACGTAACTATCTGTAGTATTTACTATTTATTGTGGCCAACAAAGGGAATAGAAAGGAAAAATACTAGGAGCCAAGGCAACATTGGCCTCAGTATTGTGAAGAAATAAGCTGTACTTTTCATATGCGAGTGAAGCCTCACTGAAACACAGAGGAGTTTGCTATAGGTACATTTCATCTTTGCAAAATTGAAAGTTGTCATTGTACCCTTAGTAACAGTTGAGTAAGTACAGGTATATGTACCTGTGTTTCTTACATAAAAACATTTAAATTTGTTCTGGTTGCTGTGCTTCAGAATTTGTCACACTTTACCCAAGGATTCATCACATGTAACTAAAGTTTAGGCAGCATTTATTAACTCCTGCTATTTAGAAGTTATTTTTCTTCTTCAATCTAACATTGATATAATATCTTCTGACTTTTTTTTTTTTTTTTTTTTTTTTTTTGCTAGAGCAAGTGAAAATTCATGTTTAAATTAATCTGTATTCTAAGAGAAAAAGCTAACTCAAAATACCACTGACATTTTTTATATTGCCATAAGCATATTTGAGCCATGTCCAGGAACTGTATTTTTGGTTGTTGAAGGCAGAAGACCTTAGGGGTTCTGCACAAACAAAAGAAGTAAAAAAAATGATGTCTAGATATGTTCTCAAATGAGTGGAAAGATTTGCTTTCAGTGTAAAAGCCACTGAAGGAAGTCAATTATAAATTCAGAGTAGATTAGCTTAGTGTTTTGGCATTAAAAATGGACTTCATTTGAATTGGCTGAAGATGCTGGTGTGCCACTTGTTTTACACACTTGCATTTGACAGTACAACTACAGAAATTCTGATTTTTGGAGACATGGGGGGAAGGGAGTTCTACCAACTTAGCATCGTAATTCAACATTTGGCCAACATTTTCCAGATTTTTTTATTTATGGGGGAAAATGTTACCTAGAAATATCTCTGCTTGTGCCCAGCCTGAAGGAAAGAATTAGATTAAATTATCTCTGAGGACTAGATTGTTTTTTAATGATCATCTGTTTATGTGGTGAAAAAAGCTCAGCCACACCTAAGAAAATTGAAAGGGCGTTCTTAATCTCTTCTTGGATAATTTTCCCCCTGCCCTTACTTTCAACATGGAAGTTTCAAAACTGTGCAGTTCTCAGGAATGTTCCTTGCAAGTTTAATCAACGGGAAATCCAGAAAGCTGTAACTTGCAAGCACCATACATGCACAATGGCACAATTGTAAGAAGCAGAAGTAGCTTTGGAGGCTGGAGCACCTCTCCCTGCAAGAAATCCCACAGCAGTCCTGCTAGGAAGGCTTCAGTGCACAGTGGGCTCTGAAGTTTTATTTGTCCTTCAGCAGTTGCTATTCCGGCTCACTGATTGCAGAGAAACAGACTGAATCCTGTTAGTGCCCCTTTGTAGTACACTATGGAAAAGTTTGTTGAGTCAGGATCTGTGCAAGCAGACCCAAGTTTGCTTCAACCTTGGCTACCAAATGGGCTCACTGGTCTCTCAATTTGCTAGGGTGATTTTGGTAAACTGAGCTGCAAATTCAGTCAGTTTCAGTAAGTTATATTTCAGTTAACATTCAGCACTATTAATAAATTTAGTGTATTTCCCATGTGATGGCAATGCACTGCATGGTTCAACTTTTTCCCAGGATCTTTGCTGGCATTTTGTGGTCAGCCTGCTGGTCCGGGTGGCATTTGGCAAGAGGCATCAACAGATAGTGCTGTGTGCCAGTCTCCCTGCAGAACACTGGCTCAGTCTGCCTCTACATGGTTTCCATTAAACTGGAGGCTCTTCACTATGCTTAAGTCCTCTTACAAGAGCTGGAGAAGAACATCAGCATTTGTTCCTTCAAACCACCTCCAGAATCCCATACAAGTAAACAAACTCCTTTCCCATATCTGCAGTGCATTAGTAAATTCAAACATGAGGTAGGGAGTGAAAAGCCTTGGTTCCCACCAGTGTGTGTGGCATTTGACTTGGAGGCATAACTTAAACTGGTGCACAGCAGAGTGACATCTCTATGCTGTACCAGTGAGGAGCTGTTAGTCATGGTTGTGATTGGAACTATAACGCTGAGTTACCTGTCTTTGTTTGTGTACATTTTCAACCATAAAATTTGCTGCATGAGCTCAGGTTCTGCTGTACAGAGGTGAGTGACTTCCATCTCCAGCTTGGTGAAAAGTGGAGGAGTGCTTTCTGCCACGTTTGCCATGTCTGACTATTGTAATTTTTCCTCTTCCCACAAGTGACAGTTTTTCATCTCAGGGTGTTTTGAGTAGTTCTCAGTGTTTGTGCCAGATACCTTTCTATCCTCCTCCTTTTTCCTTCACCCCCATACTTGTTTAAAATATTAGCTGCCAGGATATATTGCATTTTGTTAATAGATAATGCATCTTCTCCTATGTAAAAACTTCAGTGTATTTAAAACTGTGCCCATACTAGTTCTGGGCAATAGCTATTTCAGTGGAGAATACTTGGATGCAGTAAATGGCTCCATGTAATTTTAAAACAACATCCAAGTTTACACCAACCACCTTCTCAGGCACTTTTTTTTTTCTTCCACTTTGTCTTTGGCACACTTTATTTTCCAGTAAAATGAAAAATGAAGATGGATTATTCAAAATTGATAACAGTAATGGACCATCATGTAATGTTTTATTGAATTTGAGTTCTGTAAATTATGTGGTAGAGAGAAATTTGGCTGCTTAAGTATAACAGAAATTGCCACTGTATTCATATAATTCTTCGTACTGTAATTTAAGAAAAAGCACACTATCCATATCACTATTGAATAAAAGGTAAAAAGGTGCTATTACACTATCATGACAGCTCTCCTCTTGCTACTAAGCGACATAGATAAATGTGTCTGCTTATAACTTATTTGGCAGAGATCCAGGCTTGTGGGTGGAGCCTGCAAATAATCCTCCACCTGGACATGGGTCTTAAGCACCCTGCAATGAAGGCAGATAGCGTTCGAGGATGTTCTACATATTTTGGGGAGGATTTTGGCAAATTGCATTTTTCTTCTGAAGCTTTGAAGTTCTACAAGGCTGATAAAATCTATTTGAATCAGTGATTATGTTCAAAGTGGAGACAAACTGGGGGCCAGACAGGCAGTGTTTTTGTTCATATTGGCAGACACTTTCGTTTATCTCCACTTTTAAAGAATTCATAATTAGCTTTTGAAAGCACTGATAATATTTATTGAACATTTTTGTGCAATTAGTAATGAATTATACTTGTGATAACGTGTAAACTTTCTTTTTTCAATGGCTCCTGGTAGCATCTTAAGAAAATACATTTCCAGTGTGAAAGAATAACAGGGAGGAAGAGTGAAGAGAACTCTACCTCTGACTTTTCCTATAACCTCTAGGCCAAGTAGCACTGGCGTATTATGTAGCCTGAGGTTCAGTATCAGGAGGCGACACCAAGACTTGCAGCTTAGCAAACTGTTTCAAGCCATTTAGAATGAATGGCAAGATACGAGGGTATTCTTTCTAGGATCTTCCCATTTTGCTTTTCATCTAACTTTCTCTAGGTGAAATTTGGTGCTCAAAAAGATGAAGCAGTAGGAACTGAATGCTGTCATCTCCCCTCTTCTCTCCACATCTATGTCCTCTGCTGTGCTCCCAACTCATGCAAAGATTCACGCCAGTGGTAGGGAAAAGAGAGGAGAAAGAGGACTTAATGCCAATTCTAATCACCAAGAGATATCTTGCAGGTATTGTTATAATGATAAATGCAGGAAAAACTGAAAGCAAAACAAAAACAACAGGAAAACTTGCTTTGTTTATTTCACTACAGCGTAAATAGTTATTAAAAAAAAAGAAATACAGCTTATTCTGCCTTTTTTTTTTCTTCAACTGCTTACTGTGTGGCAAGGACCTATTCCAGTAATTCTTTTCTAGTATGTGCTAAAGTATTTTTCAAGGACATTTTCTGTGGTTGGCTGTTGGTAAGGAGCCTTCTCTCCTGCCAGTGCAGGAGATCCTGCCAGTGCAGAATCAGTCCACTTGAGTTTATCTTTTCTTTCTTCATTTTAATCCTGCAGCAGTTGTTCTCAGCACAGTAGCAGTCAGAAATCACACATTTTTACACCTCAGTCATACGTCTTGTGCTCTGCAGACAGCTTTGTCTTCTCTCCAGTGGCACAGAATCATTTTTGATGCTCTTTGAAGGATGGGTAGTGTAACCCTACCACTGAAAAACAGTGATAATAGTGTGTTTTGAGTACTTAGAAGTACATAAACCATGTAGATGAGAATATAACCTCCACATTTTGTAATAAGTTTATTGTTGAGACTAATAACTAAGAAAATTTTTGAATTTAGAATAAGTTTTAACACAAATGATGCTTTTGTCTGTAACTCATTTATTTACCTCCTAAATAGTTTCTGCCTGGACACCAGAAAGGAGGAGGAATGAAGAATAGTGGTAAGAAAGCATTCACCAGATTTTTATTTTTTTAAAAATCCTCCTCCAAATTATTTTCCAGGCTCAGTGCTGGGAAGTTAGTTTGTGTTTTCCATCCCACCTTCCTTCTGTTTGTGCAGACCCATATGGAGTCTTGAAGACCAGACTGGCCCCAGCATTGTGTTTAACACCTCCATTCTCATTGCCTTGGGAGGCAGAAGAGTGATGTGGAAATGCAGAGCTCAGAATTGTGCTCAGCTGCCTGAGCACGGCTGCCTGGGACCATTGGCTTTGCAGCAGCACTTCCATATAGGGCTTTTGCCTGACAAGAAAGGACTTTTTGGGATAGATGGCAGCTTCCCTAAGTGCTGTGAGCATAAGAACTCCCTAAAGAAGGCAGGAGCTGATGTTTGGGCCATAGCTTTCTGTAGGAATGGATATCTTCAATCAGAATTGCTTCTCTTAGTCTTAACGCTTCTTCCTAGTTAAAGCAGAACACTCTCCACTTCCTTAAATGCAACATCTCTTTAGGAAAAGGAGCATTAGGTTGTGTTCTTTAATACCACATTCATATTCCTTTGTTACATTCACAGTAGAAGACTCTCCTTGTCCCAGCATGGTAATAGCATTTATTTTCAAAAGAAACTCATGTTTGCTTTTGCAAAAATTAACAGTTTTCTTACTGCAAACCTTGTTACTTCAAGACAGCAGAGCATTTTGTATGCCTGATATATTTAAAAGGAGAACTTGGCAGGAGGGAGACTTTAAGAACCTGTTGATGTTAAACTTCTAGTTGCACTCACAGGTTCATAAATATTTCATCTATTAGAGTAATTAGGTCTCCCAGACCTGCTCCATTGCTGAGATGTAAGATGTAGTTGTTATGTAGGGAACCTGGCGTGATTTGTATGAGATGGCAGCATGCTGTCATCTGCAGCGTGCTGCATGTGCCCTGGGTGCTGGCTTTTTTTCATTCCTAATCCTCTCTTTGGTGTATCCTTGTTGGGCTCTGACAAGGACAATGCTAGTAAAAGGACTGGATGAGGGACCTACACAGCACATGCCCACGCAAAGCCCAGGCAATGGACTGGGTAAGAATTAGAGTAGTCCTGATGAGGGAATGGAGACGGTAGGAGGAGAGGGACAAACCTCTCTCTTTCCTTGACAAAGCAGAGGAAGTATCTCTTCAGAGGCCAGTGGTCAGTTGTGTCACCTGTTATTAAACTCCAATATAAAACTTTCACATCTAAGTACTGCCTTATTAAAAATATGGATCTGGATCATTAAGAAGTACTTAAATAACATTATGAGTTTACTATTTCAAATTAGGTGTAAGATATCACTTCTTTCAAAGAGCTGTTTAAGCTGCTAGTAACAAGGAAAGCCATTTCTTGAGGTTTGCTGTGTGCTTTGTTTGGGAAGCCTGAGAACCTCATCATGCCTCTGGACTATGTGTGTTTTATTTACTCTTAACTTCTTGTGATTGTCTGGCAACTGTGAAAGATTTCATGGCAAGTTAAGCCAGTAAAAGGAAGGAGACCCATTAGGCAGATTCAGTTTGTGTTGTATGTAAAACAGATGCTTAATAAAATTAAGAGCACAATTGAGGCTCTCTTCTCTGTTACCTAAATTGCCATTAATATATTCCTGTGTGGATCTAATAGTCCGTTTGGCTGTTCTCATTCCAAGCCCAGTGGAAGGAGGACTGATGAGCAGCGGCTGTGCAGGGGACAATTGTACCAGGCTAACTGTCTAGCATTTTTTCTCTTCCCCCTCCCTACAGGGCTTGCTCTCAGAAATCCTCCGAAAGGAAGAGGATCCCAAGACTGCCTCGCAGTCCTTGCTCGTAAACCTTCGGGCTATGCAGAACTTCTTGCAGCTGCCAGAAGCTGAACGAGATCGAATTTACCAGGATGAAAGGGAAAGGAGCTTGAACGCAGCCTCTGCCATGGGCCCCGCACCTCTCATAAGCACACCACCCAGCCGGCCTCCACAAGTAAACTGCTCTCTCTGTCTTTTGGATTTGCTTGTGCTTTCTTCATGTCCTGCTAGGTGATGCCTTTCTTCAAAAGAGGAAAGATTTTGCAGTCGTGTTCTTTAAATGCTCACAGAATCGTTATTTGCAGTGCATGTCACAAATTAAATTTAAGAAGTGTAGTGGATGTTAGTAGCAGTTCATTACTAGCTGTTTTCTAGTTTAAAGATAAACTCTATCTATTATGGCCCCCTCAGAGTTTTTTGCTCTTTCTATTGAGACATAAGCTTTACTTGGTCTAAGATCACACTGTCTTTTATTATTTTTATTTTTTTGCCCTGTAATTCTCAGGTGTTGTTTTAATGTTAGAGTTTTAAGCAGGGATTTTGAAGGGTTTGGACCACTAAACTGAGTGGGAATGAAGGCAGAAGTAGAGCACATTGTATTGCCTTTAGAATTATATTCCAGAAAACAAATAGGTTGAACTAAACGTCTAGGAAATAAGACTCCCTCCCAAAATGCTGGGGGCACCTTCATCAGATCAAGCTGTTGACAACTGGGTAACAAAACAGTCTTGCATGATCCATTGCTCTGAAAGTTTGGCATATGTGCACTATAGCTTCATTTAGTTTGTGTTCAAATGAAACTCGTATTGATTTCTGTAAAATCTGGTGCAACTCCTTCTTTAACTCTCCCAAAATGAGAAAGTCTGACGGAATTATATGCATAAATTCAGTGGTCATTGTGTCGGTCAAGGAAACTCTTGATGCTGGTTTTACGGGTCATGAGAAATTGAGAAATACAATTGTGAAACACTCAAAAAAAAAAATAATAATAATTCTTTTTTCTGAAATACCTGTCATTGCTTTAGCTAAAGGTTGTACCTTTACAAGGACAAAACAAACTGATCTGGAGATAGGTGGGAATGATGCTTTGCTAAGTTTGCCATACAAAGCAAGGCTTGAGAATTTTGGAAGTTTTGTGATGTTTGAGTGTATAAACACAGATCAGTTTTTTAACTAAGCAGGCTCAAGCATATGCCTACAACTATATTCTATATTTATTCTGAATGCTACAAATTCCTACAGATTATTTACCTGATTTCTAATGGATGCCAAGGATCATGCTAAAGTAATGTATAATGAGGGCATAGGAAAAGGAAGGACAGAAGGTCACTTCTGACCTGCTATAGTGCTTTTCACGAGAAAAGAAAAAATATTAACAGAAAGAACAGACAGTGCTAATGGTCTAGTTTTGCTATCATTAACTGAGTTTAGTCTGTAAAATCCACTAAAGATCTTCAAGATAAAGCAGGAGAGTCTATTTACATAGTAATGCTTTAGCAGGAAATAGTTAAATATAGATAAGTGTGTTCAAAACAACTTTTGAGTTTGGATTAATATCTGTACATACTCCCACAGTCCAGGTGGAGTCCAATCAGAGCAAAGGCTAACCCTCCTTCTTAACTTATCTCTTTCTACCAAGGTAATGTCTCACTCTGTCTCAAGTGGTCTTGGGCAATTTCACAGCTAAACTACAGGACCATCCATAAGGATGTAGAGTCAGAGATAGTCCTTGTATTGGTTTTAATTCATTTAAATTGTATAAATTTGGAAATTGCAGCCTGAAAGAGTGACTTAGGGTTGTTTGTACTTTTTACTGACAAAACATGAAGTCTTTTTTTTTTTTTTTTTTTTTTTACTGTGTACTTGTTTACATTTGCGTTCCATTTTTTTTAGTGGCAATCAGGAGCATTGTTAGTCTAATCACGACAGTTAAAAGTAGAAACAGCGTACAGTTTTGTTTGGATCCTTTTTAAAAGGAAAACAGGTTAAGAAGGAATCCTTATGGACTAATACTTGAGAAGTATAGAACAAAACAAGCATTTTTCTAACTATTGTATTATATTTTTGTCATTCAACAAAATGTGAGCTCTTTATCTCCTAGGCGGATGAGGGATGTGGAAACATCAAAGTCTGGGTGCTGCACAACTTTTAACACGTTGCCAGAATTATCCACTTATAAACACATGTAGTACTTGCCAGCTGCTACAAAGTGTTTTGAACCCTGGGTCTGAATATTTAAGTATCCATTTTAGTAGAGTAAGTACAACACTTAATGCTAGAAGTAATAATGACATTATTCTTATAATTGCCCTAGAAAATATAATTTTACAAATTGTAGCAGAAATAAACAGTAGTCAGGATTCTGCAAAATTATTAATGCAAACTAGTTCTCTGATTGCTGCTTACTGCCACCCCACCCCAAGAAAACTGACCACAGTGTACTGAGCATTTGATATAAAGGAAATAAAACTACCAACATGATTATCACTAAAATTATTATGAGCAATTATTTAACATTCACTGCATAGAAATGCAGCATAATATTTTTTCTAGCTTAGCTGTGAAATACTTGGATAGCTGTTGAAAGACAAAACAGACCATTTATCCTGACAACAGAATTCAGGCAACAGCCAGCATATTTAATATTAAGTCTTTAGACCAGTGTAACATTTGAAACAATTAAACTATGAAACCATGAAAAATGGAAGCTAATATGCCACACATGAAGGTTTATTTTGCAATTGCAAGTTATCAGTTTCGGAAGGATGTGAAAATAAACATCCTGAAAAGAATCTATTTTGCATTTTTGTGTTGCCAACTGGTGGCCAGACAGTAGAGCAGATTTAACCATTTAGCAGCTGGGCTTGTTCTGTGTGAATTTTACATACTGTTACATGCAAAAACAGAAAGCGTGACCTTGGAGGTCTGATAGGATAGTAGGAACTCACCAAGCAGAAACCCTGGTGGCTGAGTTAGAAGGAACTGCACCGAATTTATCTCATTTTTACAGCATTCTTACTAGTGGCTACTTGAGCTAATGTATCTGGATTGTTTCCAATTCTTTTTGGAAATCCTTTAAGAAGCTCTTTGTCCCCTTTACTTTTCCCTTTCTCTCTGACTTAAACAAAAAAGCAAAATCTTACTAATTTTTTTTTAATTGAAATCATTAGCCTCTAATGCATGAGCTTTCAGAACTGTGTTTAGCCCTCTGAGCCAGTCAAGTTGTTACATCTGTTACTATCTTACTGGCTGATGAGCTGAGTACAGACAGAGTGCACAAGAATTTTCCCTTGGATGTTATTCACCTTACCACTTCCTGGGGCAGAATCTTGTCTGTCAGGCTCTTTTCCAGGGCAGTGAAAAGTATAAACATTCACATCTCCATCAGGTAGGTACTGCAGGGCAATCTAATTCAATCTCTCCAACCCTCCCTCTCCTCCCCCCCACATACCAAAAAAAGAAAAAAATCCTTTTTTTTTTTATTTCTTTATTTGTACATTTTTTCCCTTCTTCAACACCTGTGTTCAGGGTGAATGGAGTTCCTCAGGTTGATGCTAGGGATGGCTCCTAGCATACTAGCAGATTCTTCCTCCTCCTCAACTTGGAGAAAGGATGCAGACAGGTGACTAAGTTACAGATTTGCTTTCTTGTATATGCTGATAGCTGTCCTACAGTTATGCACGCTTCTTCCTCAGAACAAGTGACCTCAGTTTCAGAATTGCTGAGGAAGAAACTATTCTCTCTACTCATATTGCCCAAAGAAAAATTGTGCTGATTCTTGAGGTCCATGGTGACCCTGTGTAAAAACAGAATATGTATAAAGTCAAGAGCAGAATACAATTTTAGCAAGCCAACTTTTTAAGAAATATCCACAAATCTTGCATGAGTTACAGTTTTGGCTACTCAGTTTATAAAGATTTTGATTTTGGCTTCTGACCACAAATAGGCATTAGAGTTTTTTCATGATAAAGCAGTTTCAGATTGCATCCCAGAGAAAGGATGTCATTCTTAAAGACTGATACTGAGGAGGACACTGCTTTCTTGAGGCTTGAAGACCAGTGAACTTCCACACTTGTATTTCCAGGAACTGCAGATAATGCCTGATTCATGCAGTTTCAGGTTAGAGCCCTGGAATTCACACATCATCCATCACCACCAGCAAAATTTTAATTTTTAAATTTGAGACTTAGTTTGGTAGTCCTTGTGCCAAGTTGCACTTTAATGAAACTCAAAATGAACAAAATAATAAATGCAACCCTCTCCTTCCCCCGTGAAAACCACCATGGAGGAGAGTTAATGGAAACACTGACACTTAACTATAACTGCACTTCCAGGCGCCGCAGTAATAATGGAGTAGTAAACCTTGTCCTGATAAAAGCTGTTCTGAAAGCAACAGCATTTATTGTACCTCCTGTGCTATTTGCAGAGTAGAACTGAAAAGTAGTTTGTTTTGCCTGGAATGAACTACTTTATGAATTTTAATGTACAATGTAATATTAAAAGCTAAACCAGGATTAAAGAAGATTTTTGTTCCCAAGCTAAAAGAGTACTTATGAGAATGTGTTGTAAAAGATTTTTTTTTGTTTCAGTTTTGATGAGGAAGAAATGAACTTCCATGTTTGTGAAAACCACTTCAGATTGGTTATTCCTTCTACAATAGCCTCTACTTTGTTTAGGAAAATCAAATGAATACTGAATTTTTTGCCACTGCACTTGGCTTTGTTTGATGAGAAGATAACTGTCTAGGCACGCCAGGAGGGGACAGATGTATTATTTTTTTTCCAGGTATTTTTAAATGACTAAATTGATTGGTGATAGGGAGATGGCCAACTGAGTTTCTGATTCTCAGAATGTTACGCTTATAAAATAATGCTCCCTTTCTTAGTATTTGAAAAATTTGATTACTATAATAAAAAAAAAAAAATTGCTAATCTATTATTTGTTTCCTAAACAGAAAATGTGGTTATATGTGTTGGTGGAGTGAGAGGTTGTGTTTAAGCATAGATAAGATGGGAGATTATGCTCTATTTTGTTTTTCTATCCAAAATCAATTCTTTTTCCACCTCTCCTCCCAAGCTAAGGTTGCATGTTGAGGCTTTTTGTTTCTCCGTGTTTCTTTCTCTCTTTTCTTTTCTTTCTTTTTTTTTTTTTTTTTTTTTTTTTTTTTTTTTTTTTTGTGTGTGTGTGTGTATGGAGGAGGGTGTTTTTTCAAGTCAGCTTCAAACAGCCTCTAGCTTGAACTCAATTCTAAATTCAACACAGCAGGCTAGATGCTTGCTATGTATAAATTATGAAACAGTTTTATGTATGGATATTCTCCAAGAGGTTAATTAGCATTATTGCATGGAATTCATCAGACCAGAGCAGACCAATGGTCCATCTAGTCCAGTCTATACCTGATCTTTAAAGAGAAACTGTTAAGAAGCAGGGGAAGAATTTTTATACTTGGCCAGTGATGTAAAGTGGAGAAGGAAGGAATATGGCTGTGAACTACAACTCTCAGTAATCCTCAAGCCTACCATTTTATAAATTTAAGACTTTCATTCTCCTGAAGATATGTGGGCTAATATGGCATTTTGATGCAGATATTAGTGTTTTCTGTTGTTCGTTTTCCAATTCAATATCAGCAAAAGGCAATAGGGCAATATGAGCCTTTTTCTTTTTTAACTTCAGTGACACATTAGATGCCATTGAGTTTATTGTCTTGTGTAAAAATAGATGTGATTTGTCAACCAGAATGAGAATTTTCAATGGTTCTCTTAGGTTAAAAGCATATCCATACTAAATTGCACGTGGAAAAGTGTAGACCAAGAGTCACGATATAAATTGTCTCCAATGAGGTGTATGAGTTCTGGTTTTTAATGATCTGGCTGTTCACTCTACAGCTCATTTCAGCGTTGTATGAAGTACTACTACAACATGAAACTGTCTTTTGAAGCTGAGTGGTAATCAGAAAACCAACATGCTTACAGAAAAGACATTTTGATTAGGATCACAACAGCAAAGAGCTTTCTTCCCAAATTATGTCATCTTTGGACAATACTTTTCATCCTCTTATCTTTCCCTGAGGACCTTACAAGATCAGTTACAAGTATTTCTTTTGGAAGGATAACTTCACCAAAATTTAAATCGCTGGTCCAAGAAGATGAGTTAACAAAGCCATTACTTTTATTTTTCTAATTAACTTAGCATGATTCTTACATGTTCACAGTGACTGCTGTCTCCAGTAGTAAACTTCATGTTCCTATTGGTCATCAGTTATCTTTTAGTGAATCCTTTTCATTCAAAGATTATAAAATTGTCACTGATTTTGTAATTTTCAAATTGTATTACTGCATGATATTCAGGAGATGAACCTGCTCTTGCAACCCTATGCTAAATTTCCTCAGCATGAGGTATGTGTTTCCCCACCCTAAAGTGTGAAGAAGAGGAGATTCATGGCACTGCTTCTCATGCTGCCTGTTGCCTGATTCCTCAGACATTTTTGAGCAGCCACCGACCCAGGCTTGGCCATCCTCTGCTGCAGCATCACGCAGAAAATGCCACAACGTAGAAAAAGGAATACCTCCCTCTCCAGGTTGCCCCTGCAAGGTGCCATTTTTTTGCAGATGGAAGCATGACATTTGATAAACTCTGCTGAAATCAGGGATTTTTTTCTCCATTTTCCTTCTGATTAAGGACTCCTGATTTCAGACACCGGAAAGGCCAATGCCTGCCAGTAGGAGGCAGGTGGATGCATGCACCTTGTCCTTGCTGAGGTTTCACATTTGCTAGTAATGATCATGCATTAGCACAGCTCTGTAAATGCCTGCTAGACATATCAGGCTCAGCAAAAGTGGCATGCACCCTCAGTTTCTAGGCTAGATTATTTTATCTTAAAAGTACCATGGAGGATAGTTAAGCTAAATTGAGCGTGACTTTTCTAGGAGTGTTGATTTTCCTAAATATGTCCCTCATCCAAAACTCTTTGCCTCTCTTGTTGTGAGACCTGTGACATGAAAGCTCATATAAAGTGAGATTAGAAGATGAATTATTGTGTTGTCATGATTTCCCTTTGAACCCAAAGGGACTTAAGAGCACAGAAAGATGCTGATGTACACTGGATTTAACTGATAGTGAAACTGGTTTTAGATGCATCCTTGAGAGCAGGCTGAATCACCCTCTGGAATTGCCTGGCTCTGTTCATTAAACTTAGAGGTAGCTTGGATGACTAACTTAGACGAGACAGCTAACTTCCGGATGGCTAAATTAATTCAGCTCCCAACAACTTCAGTATGAACCAGCAGGTTGGAACTGAAATCTGCAGGTTTGATTTTGCATCATCACCTTGAGGGTTCTTGGCAGAAATCCAGTCTTTCGTCTTCTCTGAAGGTCCACTAACCTCAGGCAAGTGCTGCAAGAGGAGCTGCTAAAGAAAGGTGCTTTCCTTAGCTGTTGAGAATATTGTAGGGATATTCTGAGGACATTCTCAGAGAACTGCTGATTTTTTTACCTCTCAATTGATAGCACATAAACTGCAGATGCAACAAACACGGAAGGGGTGGTAGTGTGGTTATTCTGTCTTATTTACATGTGTTTTTCTTTAAGCCAGGCTTCAAGAAGAATAAGTAATTGAAAAAATATGTATCTGAAGTATGCAAGGGAAATGCATCAAGAATTAAGAGTTTTAAGAAAGCCTTATTTTGATTCTACGTGTGATTGAAATATGCAATTATTGCCTTTTTTGTTTTTTTGTTTTTTTGTTTTTTAAGAAACAGACTAGGAATTAAACCAATCAGACAATATTTTAAAAAGTTAAATCTGAAGCAACAGATTTTCTATGCTACCATGCTATTGACTGTACTGGATGTGAACAGCGAATATTTATTTATTTGTTTAGGTGTTTTTTGTTTTGTTTTTTGTTCTTTTAGTTATTTCAGTAGAAATTATTTTGTGCCACAGTTATAATTTTTGCTTAATTTGTGTGTGGGGCAAAGAAATCTCATAAAGATTCACAAGTCTCTACAAGACTGTTTGATAGGTTTGCACATAATTTGTTTTATGACATGGAAATTCACAGTGATCAGCTAATGGTAAGTATTTCAGATGCATTCACCTGTTACAATATGCTAAATTTTCTCGTTTCCCAGTTGTCAGAACTTACAGTGCTAAGCCTTCAACAAAATGAAAGAATATAAGAGCAGTATGGAATAAAAGGAAAAAAACAGTGAGGGGAACTGTTTAGGGAGGGAATGATAGGAAAATGACTATTCCATAATGAAAATTGTCTCAAAACATATATTTTCTAGGTCAAAACTGCTACTATTGCTACAGAGAGGAATGGAAAAACAGAAAATAATTCCATGAACATTAATGCTTCCATTTATGATGAGATTCAGCAGGAAATGAAGAGAGCTAAGGTATCTCAAGCACTGTTTGCAAAGGTGGCAGCAACCAAAAGCCAGGTAAAGTTCATTGGGCGCAGCAGCCTTACTTTTCTCCCCGTCTGTTTTTCAGCTGTTTCTGTGTAATTTTCAGTGACTGGCTGTGGGTTAGCCTGACGGCACAGTGCCACAGTCTGGAGCTTGTATAAGTTCACAGGTAGGGACTGGTTACCTTTCATTCTGTAGTCAGGCACTTCTGAAAGAGTTTGTTTCATAAACCCATAGTTGACACGGACAAGACAAAAGCTGTGTGCAATCCATCTATAGTGGTGCTAAAGTAGACTTAGAGCTTTGGTATTTTGCAATTCTGTCTTCCTTAATGAGGAATACTGGAGTTCTGATTTTTGCTCAAATGAGTCAGAAATGGGGATCGGTGGAGCAGACCCAGTTCTGAGGATGTGCACCAGAGCTGGGGCAGAACTGTCTGTGTATAGAAAAAAAACCACATTACAGTCAGACCAGTTATACCTAAGAAAGCTTGTATAGTCTCTGTGGAATAGAATGGCTGTGTGGATACCTGTGTGTGCATACACATTATTGTACATTCTGTTTTAAGCCTCTGTTGTGTGGTTGTCTATCCTGCTTTCTTTAACTGAAGTATTTCTGTCAAGTTGAGTGGCAGGAGAGGGAAATCAGTGAGCACTTGTTGATGTGATTATCATAAGTGACAGGTCTTCTGAGAAACATCACTGGAGTATGCAGAAGCATCGATGTAACTGAGAATGTACTCAAGATGCAAGTTGAGAAAATGTATAGAAAAACGGGTGCAACTAAAGCCACTGCTATGTCAACACTTGATAGAAATGGTTAAAACACCAGTGCTTGCAGTGTTAAATTTTCATGTCAGATTAGTTGGTAAGTCCAAGCAGTCACTTATCCTGTACTTTTCTAAAGTTTCTTCATAGAAAACACGGCATCTTCCAGGGTAGACTGTCAGCGATCAGTTAATTGTGCCTTCATTCTTGTGCTTTCAGGATTTCAGCGTTGACTTTCTTTTTAATTTTATTTGACGTTTGACTTTTTTGATGCTCACATTTTGGAATTTATTCCATTTAACTGTACAGAAAGGTTGTTCTCTCTTAAGTTATATGTTGTAAGGAGCATTTAAAGGGATAGTTTGGAAATGTTATATCAAAATGATTAAACTCAAGCTGTGGACTGTAAAAATTACAGCTTTATGGGCCACATGCCTGCCTACCCTTCAATCACTGTCAAAGTGATAATTTCTACAATAATATGTTTCTTTTATTGTGGGATTCTAAACACCAAGTGCTGTTTAAACATTAAACTGAATTGTTTATGTTAGTGCTGTACTCAGTGTGTCATACATCAGGCCACTATAATCTCCCGTGGAATGTAAAATTTCTGTCATGAATCATGGCTTGTATATCAGAAATTACTGTAATTTTGATTGGAAATTACAGGGCTCTCGAAATGTTTCTAATTATGATAGAATGTTACAGCAGCTCCCAACCTGTGTGCTTCTCAGATGTCTTTATTTACATGTCAAGACCAGGGGCTGGAGAACTGTCCGTTCTCTACACCTTTCCCTTCCCTTTGCTGTTCTCCACAAAACTAAGGTATGAATCTCAGCTGTTGGTCCACGTTCTTTTGATCTGAGTTTGTGTCTTACTGTATTTATTTAAGGATGTAATCTTAAAATTTCTAGCTGGAAAAACTCTTCCAATTCTGATATGAAAAGAAACAGTTAATCCCTTTTAAAATCAGCATTGGAAGAACAAAAGCTTCCAAAGGATGGAGTAGGGCTTTTTTTACAGTGTCAGTACAAAAACTTGTGCAGAATTCTGTGCAGACTGTGCTACTGAGTATACTGAACATACAAGAGAAAACAGTTCTTTTCCAATTCATTGTGGGGATTGTCTTTATTTTCAAAGATTGTTTTTCTCCTGTATTTAAGCAAAATAATTTTTATTTATTTATTTAGCAAGATCTCAAGGCTGTATTTAGCCGAAGTGCCATTTTACTAGAAACTTGCTTCACAGAAGTAACCTCATAGGTAAACTGAATGTGTTTGATCTTGTCTTAACAGTTGAGTACTAGTCAGACAATCAATATTTATTAAAAAAAAAAAAATTAAAAAAACCCCAAAAAACTAATGTAGGAAAGCCACGTATAGTAAGGGAAATCTGTCGTGCAAAAAAATCTGCATTGAAGCTTGTAAATAGTAAAGAGAAATATTTCTAGGGGCAAAGAAGTCTCTCTTGTGTGAACTAGAGACTTGTTCAAACATATTCTTTAAGAGGATCTTATGGTTCATTGTTCTCTTTAATTTGAAGATATTGGTTTCTCACTCCAGAGTGGAGAACCTAGGATAATCACTTCAAGTTATAATGCAAAGTCTGGAGAACACATAGTAGGAAATTATGTGTTGGTTAAAAATTTTCATTTTAAACCTCACCAATGAAAAAATGAATATTCTTCTTCTCTTGCTTTGGATGCAGAAACTTGATTAACTTGATTAAAGTCTTGGGTTATGGCACAAAAGAATATGTGACTGAAAACAGTGTCTGGGTGGACAAAGATAAAAGTTTGCTGGAGGGCTTTATTTTTATTTTTATTTTTCCAGAAACTGATTTTTGTCAGTATTAGATTGGGTGTCTAACTAAGCAGCTAGCATCTGCAAGGTGGCTGGGCTCGCCTGAGCCAGGAGACTGCAGATAATGTTCTGCTGAGTAGAGCACTTTGAACAGAAGGGCTATTAAACGATGTGCTACAGAAGTTTCTATTTAGGTAGTGCCGAGGTAAAAATCAAGCATCCTCCCTTGTGCTGTGTAAGTGCCTTTGACAACAGTTGCCTGGTGCACTGGCGGCCACGCATGGTCCTCATATTTGACCTGGATGCAGCAGAGGTCATAGCACAAGAATGGGATGATGGAAGCAGGAAGAGATTGCAGTGCTATCAGTGAGATCATGCTCTGCCCTAGAAGAGTGAGGATTTGCATACTTGCAGTTTCACAGTGTACTTTGCTGCCGACTCACTCAAAATTTGCCACTTGGCTCTCCTGAAAAAATGGATTTGAATCAGTTTGGGTACTTAGCTAGGAGGTTCCTCCTGGTTGGATTCTTTTCCCATATAGCAATGCACACAATCTGTATTTCAAAAATTCCTATATATTTCAGGATCAATATCTTATCTAATTCAGATTCTGTTAAAATCAAAATACATTCCTTAAAAGTTACATTGTTTATTCTAAGGAACTGAGGAAGATAATATTTCCAATTACTTACATACATATTATCTTTTGGGGGGGTTTTAGAATTGTGATCGGCAAACCATCTAGTGTCAATATTTGAAGTCTTATGTTTTTATTGCATTTGGTCTTCACAATAGGCCTACATATTTTTTGTTAGGTTACGTTGAAAAGAGAGCTTTAGAAAAAGATATAGAAATGAAAAACTGAAATGTTTAGCACATTTTGTCTCTGCTCACAGGGTTTTTGGTGGAAGAAGGGCAAATGCTAACAATATTGTTTGCTAAAAATTAATCAGCACACCTGAATAAGTCAAAATGAAAAGAATCCACACAAAATTTTGTGTAGTATGCATTACTTCTAGAATTTAATCACATTGGCATTTTATTAAATTTGTTACCCAACAGTCGGATTCAAATAATTCTGAGAGCACATTCTTAATTTCGTTACTTCAAATAAAAAAAAGTTGATTTGTGTAATGATCATTAAGGCATCATGGTTCAATAGCTGTGCATTGGTTACAATGTTTTCATGTGGGAGCCGGGGATGAGGGGTTTTTTTGATGGTGACAGATGCTGAAATCTAATTCTATTCCATAAAAATAAACAAACAAACAAACAAACAAACAAAAACCCACAAACCTAGGAGCCTCGAGAGATAAGGGAAGTAGAGACTTGTAGTGCTCCTGTATATTTGCTGTTTTGAGAAGTAACTTCTATGGCTTACCCTGAAAAGATAGTGTGAAGTAGGGGAAAAAAGCAAAACTTTTGTGAAAATCAGCTTATGTTGCTAAATCTTTCTTAAACTTAGGAAACTGCAATTTGCAAAAACTGAGGTGATACCAAATTCCACATCTCTGAGAGTCCTGTGTGCTGCAGTATATAGCTGTTAGTTTGCATTATTATTCCTAAATAAGTTTATTGCAGAATAAATAGGTAAAATGAGTACTCTTCTGCATCTGCAGTGCTGAAGATTACTGTGCATGTGCGAGTGGGTGTCACACACCCTCTCTCCTCCCTGAATAAAAATGCCTGTGTGTTGAAGCCTTTGGCAGCTGGGACATTTGCGTCTCCTAAGATCATGTTCTGATTTTAATGTCAAAATAGAACCAATAGATTATTAGCCATAATTCCAGAATCCTTATATAATTAAAGAGAGTTTTGACCCGTTACTTTTAAGCTGTTGCACAATGTTGCCTAGTTTCCTGTTCCTCTGATCGTGGCTTTTAGTTCTGTTAGGCGATTATACCTTTTGCAATGAGCAGTTCTGCATGTGAAGCATGGAAGTACAGTGGTTTAGAACATGCTATAGACTCAACCCTAAGCCATCACACAATTATTTTGTGTGGTGAAATTCTATGACAAGTGTTTTCTTCTGGGCTTAGTATTCAACTGGAATTCCCTCCTCTGAAGCTGTGCTTGGGAGGGAGCACAGAGTAGGCATTGAGAAGAGCGTCTTCCACTTGTGAGTAGATGGGAAAGAGTTAAATGGGAAGGGAATGCTAAACATTGGCACTAAAATTGCTTTTGGTGTGCAAATACTGTATTTTTCCTGACATAAATATTTTCAGAATAGGCCATTAGAGTTCAGGTATATAAAACTCCGCTTTTGCTGGAAATTTTAATGTTGTAGTAAACCCAGAGATTTATAGTGAAAAATTGATGTCTGTTATCTCACTTTTATCTTTTAACCAGCAGTTTTATAAATGCTATATCTTTGATCTGGCTTTTTCCATCTAGAGACTAAGCTATATACTCTAATAGGAAAGTCATTTTTAAACAGCTTCCCACATTGAACAAGCACAGCATT